CCCCAAAACCCCAAAACCCCAAAACCCCTAGCACAAAATTTGACAAGGATTCGAGAAAGTAAATATACTGATATAGGAAGAAAGGATTATTAAATTTAGAGTTATCTGAATCTTCATGAAGAGGAATAAGTCATTATTTCTTCTTTGCCTCAGCCTCCTTTTGAGCAAGAAGCTGCTTTCTTTTAATTTCTTCAAGAGCATCTCTGTGCTTGGTCTTAATTGCCTTTCTCTAATCTTCTAATTCGAGTTGTGCGAACTTGTTGTAGTTATCTTCGCCATCTTCATTTCCATCTGTAACTTGAGCTCTAGACACATTGCTCTATCTCCCATCCTTAGTTTCATCAGCGTGAGTGACTCCTGAAACTGGTCTCACTCTTATATTCTTGCTTATGAAATCTTCAGTTGCAAAATCAGTAAAAACATCTCCGTACTCGATTCCTTTGTCTTCATCCTCCTAGTTCAACTGCTTTTCAATCATTCTCTTGAGTTCATCACAAACAACTATGTTCATTCCCTCGAAAATTTTAACAATATCTGTTTGGCCTTGCTGAAGTGATTTACTATCTATTAGTGCTGCAAATTTGCCGAAAACTCTTTTAGCCCAGCCACTAATTTGATCATTCACAATGTTTATTCTCTTGAATTTTTCTTAAATTGCTGAATAATCTTTCTTCACATTATTGAGAGTGCTATTCATTTCAATGATTTCCTCGTCCATCATTGAGCCATTGTTTTCAGCACCAGCGCTGACGTCAATTTGTAACTCATGGAGCCTTCCTCTAAGTTCTTCATTGTCCTTCTTTAGTTTATCGATCTTTCTTTCACTCTCAGATACAGCCATAAGTAGTTATGAGTAAGTTTACTCTCTAGTGAGGAACTTCCTGACCATTTCCTAAACATCAGTAACACCTGTGGCAGTTTTTATTGATTTAAAAGCTTCATCAATTGTTTGAGATTGCCTCATTTCTTTTTCCATCTTCTTTCTCATAAAAGCGTTCCACAATTTTTAAATGTAAAGGTTTTCTCTCATTTTAAGCTCAGATGAGTCCTTATTTTCGTTAGCAGCTGCTTCAGCTATTTCTTGGTTTCTTCTTTATCTTTCAATCCTTCTTTATACAGATTCCTCTTTGTTTTTAATGCATTTTTATAGCTCTAATATTCTTTCTTATCTGTCTTTCTACTCCTTTTCAATGTTTTTCATGAGATTGTCAAATATTGCTTTCGATTAAAGTCTTTCTTCTTTAGTTTTTCTTTGTTTATTTTGTTCAATATCTAGGATTTAACTTTTCGATCTCAAACTAGTTTCAAATTCATTTGATTGTATCTTCGTTGAAATGTGATCTTTCTTCATTCTATCTAGGATATGCAAGTAAGTGTTTCTAGCTAGATTCTCCTCGTCAATTTTAAGTTTTGTTGTATCGAGGGCATCTTAAAGTTGCTCAAGTCTAGATCTGATTTGGAAAACTGGCCCTTCAGCAGTGCTTTCCAGATTTGAATGCATCTCGATCTCTTTCTAAAAAAAATAAGGCACGATAAAAGTACCCTGACTATCTCTAGTTCCTATTACTTTTGAATAACTAACTTCTTAGCTTCATCATGCTTTTTCTTGATTTGAGAAAGCTAAGTTGAAACCTCCCTGATTTCCTCTTGCCCATGTTGCTAAAGAATCTTTTATTGAATATTATATTACTAGAGCTGTTGCATTATTAGCAGGCTCGAGGAGAGTACTTTATTCTACATACTTTGAAGCACCATCATTAAGCCTAATTAAGAATGATTGATAAGTATCATTATAGAAGTCAGTTTTAGTTAGATAAGTTTCATGTTATTATATAATCAGACTTACTTGAATTTCTTTTACATGACACTTCTGGTTGTGTTTGCTAAGAAATTAGCTTGCCCTCTCACAGGTTTCAACTATTTTAATATGAAAAAATTCTAATTACTGTGCTGTTTTGCTAGTCTGCCATTATCAATAAAATATAGTCTTATTTATTTATTATTTCTTAACAATACAAATTAAAATGCACTCTTTTATTTCAAATAGTTAATTCTCGGGGTTTTGGGGTTTTGGGGTTTTGGGGTTTTGGGG